ACTTGGGGTAGCTTGAATAATGTCCCCTCCTCCCATCCAAAGACGTCCTTGTCCTATTGCCTATGACCATGTAAATATGTTACTATATATGGCAAAAGAAACTTTGTAGATGTGACTGAGAATCTTGACATGGAGGGATTATGCTGAATTGTCTGGGTGGATCTAATGTAATCATGAGGGTCCTTACTGGAGGGAGGCAATAAGAGTCAAAGTCAGAAAAAAGAGATGTGACAGTGGAAGCAGGGGTTGATACACTTTGAAAGTGGCAGAAGAAGCTGTAAACCAAGGAATGCAGGTAGCCTTTAGAAGAGTCAGGGAAATGCATTCTCCTCTGAATCCTCTAAAAGAAAAGCAGTCCTGTCAACACCGTGATTTTAGACTTTGACCTCCAGAACTTTAAGAAAATAAATGTATGTCATTTTAAGCCACTAAATTTGTAGCAGGTAATTTGTTACAGCAGTGATAGGGAACTAATACGCAACTCCAGGTTTCTCTTGCTTATTGTTTGCATAATACATCTTTTTCATACTTTTCTTTCAATATGTCTTTGTCATTATATTTAAAGTGCATGTCTTACAGACAGCACAGACTATTAATTTTTCTTCTAGTATTACAATGTCTACCATTTATTTGGTGTGTTAGTCCATTTATGATGTATTCAATTATTGACATTATTGGCTTTTTGTTATTTTGTTGTTTGTTTTTGTTTTATGTTTTACTTTCCATAAGAAATTAAGAGAAAAGAAAAATAATATTTTTAATGTACTTATATATTTACCATTTCTGTTGCTCTTCAATCTTTCTGTAGATCTAAGTTTTCATTTAGTGACATTTCTAAGCACTTACTCTAGCATTTCCTGTAGCACTAGACTGCTCATGACAAATTCTCTGTTTTCTTTGCTCTGAAGATGTTTTTATTTCCCTTTCCTTTTTACTGGATATTTTTGCTGGATATAGAATTGTGGAATAGCAGTCTTACCATTTTATTTATTTATTTTTATTAAAAATATTTTCATATTTACTTGTACATTTTTGTGGGTACAGTTTTACCATTTTAAAAGATGGCATTCCACTGTCTTTCCTCTTTTGGTTTCTGATAAGAATTCAGCTGTCTTTCATGTCATTGTTCCCCATTATTGTGTTACTTTTTTTCTGGCTGCTTTTCAGTATTTTCTCTTTATTATGGTTCTCAGCAGTTTTATATGTGTTCTTATATGTGATTTTCTTTATGTTTATCTTGGTTGGGGTTCATTGGGTTTCTTGTGCCTTTAAGTTCTATGCCAAATTTGGGAAATATTTGACCGTTAATTCTTACAAAATTTTTTCTACTCTATTACAATTCCCCTTTATTTCTGGGACTTTAATTTCACTTATGTTATACTATTTGATATTGCAGTACAGGTTACTGAGGTTCTGTTCATTTTTTTCCTCCAATGTTTTCCTCTGTTCTTCATATTCAGTAAATTTTAGCAGTGTTTTCATCTTCACTGATCTTTTCTTCTGCCCTCTCCCATTTTCTGTAAATCCCATTAAGTTATTTTTTAAATTATTAATATTGTTCTTTTCTGTTCTAGAATATTCACTTGACTCTTTTTAATAGTTTATATTTTTCTGCCAAGATTCTTAAGCTCTTGTTCATTATTATTTTTATTTATTATGATTATATTTTCTTTTGAGTCTTTGAACATATTAAAGTCCTTGTTTGCTAATTCCAACATGTACATCACATAACTTTCTTTTCTACTTACTGATTTTTCTCTGACCCATGGCCCACATTTACTTATTTCTTTGCATTCTAATAAATTTTTATTGTATGCTGAAAATTAAATATGATACATTATAGCTAGTCTGCATTATGTTATCTTCTGTTTTGAAGTTAAATTTTTATTTGGGAATAATTTCAGATTTATGGAAAAGTTTCAAACGTAGTATAAAGCATTCCTTTATACCCCTATATCTCATATCTGTTAACATCTTAAATAACTATGGCATATTTGTCAAAACTAAGAAATTGACATTGCTACGTCAATAAACTCCAGACTTTATTTGAATTTTAGCAGTTTTCCATTAATGTCCTTTTTCTGTTCCAGGATCCAATACAGGATACTACATTGTATTTAATTATCTTATTTATTTAGTCTCCTCTGGTTTATGACAGTTGCTTAGTGTTTCCTTGTTTTTTATGATTTTGATATGTTTGAAGATTACTGGTCAGATGATTAGTAGAATCCCCCCCAGTTTAGAGTTATCTATTTTTTTTTCTCATGTTTAGAGTGGGGTTATGAATTTTGAGGAAAATACCTTAGTGGGTAGGTGTGCTTCTCATTGCATCATATTAGGGATACATGATATCGTCAAGAATCATCACTGGTCGTTCATGCAGTTAATTTTGTTCATGTAGTTGATGTGGTGCTTACCAGGTTTTTAAATTTAATTTAATTTGGGTGGGGTGGGCTGACCAGTATGGGGATCTAAACCCTTGACCTTGGTGTTACAAGGCTGCACACTAACCAACTGAGCTGACTGGTCAGCTCTACTGTAAAGTTACTATTTCCCCCTACCCATACTTTGTACTTTGGAAGTGAGTCTCTAAGTCTTGAACACCCTCAAAGGGAGGAGAATTAAAAATAATAACAATAAAAAAAGGGGAGTATATATTTTTTGGGATCTCTGTAATAAAGTTTTGTCACTTCTCCACCATTTATTTACTTATTCATTTATAGGGAGGAGAATTAAAAATAATAACAATAAAAAAAGGGGAGTATATATATTTTGGGATCTCTGTAATAAAGTTTTGTCACTTCTCCACCATTTATTTACTTATTCATTTATTTATTTAAATCAGTATGGATTTATAGATATTTTTCCTTGGGTTATAATCCAATACTGTTATTTATTTTATTGCTCAAATTGTTCTACTGGAGCTTTTTCAGGTTGCTTCCTGAGTCCTAATATAACCTCATCTTTTTATTTTTTTCCTTAATTTGATTATTTTCTTACACTTTTACATAAGGATGGTGTATGCTCATTTTGTATTTTCCCTGCCTTAACCCTAGAATTAGACATTTCTTCAAGTAGCCCCTGGGTCCTATGTTGTTTAAGCATACAGTTTAGTAATGTTAAGTATTGTTATGAATTGAATATTTGTCTCCCCCCAAGATTTGTATGATGAAGGCCTAACCCCTAGTGTGACTGTATTTGAGGATAGTACCTCTAAGGTTAAATGAGGTCACAAGGGTGGGGCCCTGATCTGATAGGGTTAGTGTCCTTATAAGAAGAGACACTCATTCTCTTTCTTTCCTCTTGTGCACACTTTGAGGAAAGGCCATTTGAGGACATAACAAGAAGTCTGAAACCCAGAGGGAGAGCTGTCACTAGACACCAGCCCTACTGGCACCTTGATCTTGGACTTCCAGTCTTCAGAACTGTGAGAAAATAAACTTCTCTGGTTTAAGTCACCCAGTCTATGGTATTTTATTATGGCAGCCCAAGCAAACTAATATAAATATATTTGCATTGTTGGGCAACAGATCTTCAGAACTTTTTCACCTTGCAAATCTGAAACTCCATATCTATTAAACAACTCCACTTTTCTCCTCCCTCCTGGCCTTTGTCAACCACCATTCTGCTTTCTGTTTCTGTAAATTTGACTACATTAGATACCTCATATAAGTAGAATCATACAGTATTTGTCTTTTAGTGATTGTCTCATTTCACTTAGCAAAATGTCCTCAGGGTTTATCAATGTTATAGCGTATGACAGGATTTCCTTCTTTTTTAGGACTGAATAACGTCTTTTAGTGATTGTCTCCTTTCACTTAGCATAATGTCCTCAAAGTTCATCAATGTCATAGCGTATGACAGGATTTCCTTCTTTTTTTAGGACTGAATAATATTCCATTATATGCGTAGACCACATTTTGCTCATGTTGCCTTTTTTTTAAGGGTGTCAAAATTTGTTCTTATGGGCAGCAAAATTACTGGTGGGTCTTTCCGGTGCTGTCAAGCTCTGTTTGTTTTTTGTTAGTGCTACTGAGCAATGCATCTTTTCTCACTGTTCAGTTCCTGGCCCTGCAGGAGGCCATCTCAGCTAGATTTGCAGAGTTTTGTCCTATGCCTGTGCAGCCTAGCTCTCAGCCACAGACCTGTGGTGAATTCTTACAGTCTTCTAAGCACTGCTCTGTGTGTAGCTCTCTCTTGTCAGTTATCCTGCCCTGCAAATTCCAGGCACTTAAGCAGCTCAAAACTCCAATCTCTGCCTCCTCAGCTTAGTGGGACTGCTGTATGTTTAGGATTCATTTTCCTGCTCTCTGTCAGAAAGTGGCCCCTAGGAGAAAGTCTGAATGATCATAGTGCTAACCTATGTGTGTTTCTGTTCTCTCAAGGATCACATTATTGCCTGTGTGTGCCTGAAAAGAGTAACCTCATGTATTTTGTCATGTATCATCTTTTGATTGAATGGCCAGTTCATTACCACTCTGTCATGCCTGGAAGCAGACTACATTAGTTTTTATTACTATGCACTCCCTGCTTCTCTTCTGTCTTTATACACTCTATCTTGGTGACCTTATCTGTTCTTTAAAGTTCATTTCACCTACTAGAAATACATCACTAACATTTTAGTATGTATTTGTTTTTGTTCCCTTTTATAGTTGTCTTTGCATATAAAAATAAGATAAGAAGGAGAGAAAATTTAATGGAATTTCTGACACCGTGAAGGGGAAAGATTAGAGGACAAGTGAGAGAGTGTTTATAGGAGGACAGGGATGTGTCATATTCAGAAACCATATCTGGGCAATAGTCTATATCTGCAATGATTCCAGTCAGATGCAGCCAACAGTGCATTTTTCTATTTATTAATCAGTACCCACGAGGTCCAAGAAATGATGAAATCAGTGCCATTTGGCATACATCTATTTTCTCAGAAGGAAAGAAAGCAGAGACAAAATCTGAGATGAATTCATAGCTAGGAATCACTCTCATTTTTATTCTAGTTTTCATAATCAAAATTGCGTAACTTGAGAGCAACTTTTTCTTGCTCAATCAAATTAGATGATATGGCGAATCAATTTAATATGTATTTAATGAGAATCTACAGAGTTTGGTGGGAAAAGAAATTAATAAGTTAGAATGTTAATTTCTATAGGCAGCCCCAGAATTTGAATCATTTCCTGAAAAATTACTTCTGCTTTTGTCAAGTTTCCTGCTAGCAGTTTAGAGACTGGGTTGTTTCCTCACTGATAAATGTCTCCTCACACTTCTATAATTGTACTCTGTCAACTGAACGTGAAAGATATTAGATGGAGATGGCTGGTAGTGATATTTATTACATGTTAGAGTTGCCTACTGCAACCCAAGTCCAGAATGACTGCAGACCACAGCAAAAAGGTGAGTTAACCAAGTTAGTATAGAAAATTATGCATAGTGACCACAGGCTAAGGATGAGTGGAGGGACGGGGAGGTGGGTGGGTAGAGTAAATTTGGAGTAGAGGGTGCAGAAAAATAAAGGATAATTTGAGGAAATACTTTTGGAACTTTAGCTTGAAGCCCATAGTTGAAATGTGAAAATTTGGTATATGGTACAGGATCGGATCTTAGGTCTTAGGTAAATTCTTTTTAAGTTCTATGATCCTGTCTAAGAAACTCAAGCTAGGGCACTGCCATTATTCTTTAGTTCTTAACTAAAGCAAAAACTTTGTTGGGAGAACTTTATCCCTTAGTCATCTTTGGTGTAACCTTGGACCAGCTGTTTCAATTCTGGATATCTCCGTTGCTCTGACTACAAAGTGAGGAAGATACCAATAATTTTGCTATTGGGTAATAGTAAGATTTTGTTAGAAAAGAAACTGGTTTGCACATCTAGGCTCTTATCCCACAGTGCTGCACTAGAATGGTGATGGGGAAAGGGGAGATATCAAGACACTACAGATAAGTAGTCCTGGGATTCTGTGGGGATTCAAGGACAAAAAAACCATTTTACATAAATACCTGAGAGAACACCATCTGAGACAGATAATAAAGTACATGCTAAAATTAATATTTCATTTTATATCTTAGGCAGTAAGCTCCCAGAAGGTGTATTCTTTAGTGTAACGTCATAAGCTTCAAGGACAAAAAAACCATTTTACATAAATACCTGAGAGAACACCATCTGAGACAGATAATAAAGTACATGCTAAAATTAATATTTGATTTTATATCTTAGGCAGTAAGCTCCCAGAAGGTGTATTCTTTAGTGTAACGTCATAAGCTTCCTCTCCTTTTGCTATATAGTCTTATTATTATAGTTTTTAATGTTGTCCTTAGAGAGCATTGCCAAAATTTGCTAAGTCATTCCAATATACTTGGGAGTTTAGATTTATTTCTATTACTAGAAATTATACAGCATTTGACATCTTTATTTGTATATATTTTTTCTTCTTTTGGATCATATTTGTGCTAATTTCCAAAGAATAGAAATAATTAAGACAAAAGGAATGTATAACTTAAAGTATAAGTTCAAGGTCACACAACTGGTGATAAGTTGGAACTTAACAATTGATACTGTTAAGAAACTTCTCATATATATTTTTAAAGTAAATTAAAAAAATTATTTACTTTCTTGAATTGGATGGTGTTTATACAAATATAGTTATATTTTGATACCATTTTTTTTCATTTACCATAAGTTCTAAAATGAACATTTGTCTATTTCATTAAACGTTCTTCTATGGTGCAAATGTATTTTTTTAATGCCACTAGAAATCTGGTGTTTTTGGATAAATCCAACTGTTTATCATGCAGAATTTTCTCTTTATAAAGACATCTCTATGAATTTCTTTTTTTTTTTTAAAGAAGTTCAGAATACTTCTTGGATACAAATATATACAGAATAATTTATCTAAAATTTAAATAGGAGAAAATGAGGCTCAAATAAGCAAAATTAACTTTCTTTCTTTTTTTTTTTTTTGTCTTTTTCGTGACCGGTAAGGGAATTGCAACCCTTGGCTTTGTGTCGTGCGCACCGCGCTCAACCAGTGAGTGCACTGGCCATCCCTATATAGGATCTGAACCCACGGTGGGAGCGACGCTGCGCTCCCAGTGCTGCACTCTCCCAAGTGCACCATGGGGCTGGCCCCAAAATTAACTTTCTAAACGAAGGATTCAAAACTAGAACTTAAATATCTTACTTTACAGATTTTGCTCTTTACACCATATAATTCCTATGCTATCAGACTGTAAGACACCTACAATTTTAAAATAAAAGTTTGGGCAAAATACTTCCATTTATTAAATGTAAAAACTGGCATTCTTAGATTTATGTTGTAGGCAACAGTATATTCATAATATGGAATAGTTTCCCATTCTTAAACATGACATCAACCTAAACTCATTACTCTTCCAGTAATGATAGTTTATAAGAAACTTCTGAGATGTAGGTTATTTTATTTTCATTTAAATCTTATTTATTTAAATTTTGCATAGATAATACATTCAAGTGGTTCAAAAATTCAAAAGATACAAAAGAAAATAAGGTAAAAAGTTTTTCTCCTGTCTTTGTCCCCAGTGACCCATTCTCCTCTCCAGAGGAGAAACGACGTTATCAGAGTCTTGGTTGTGCTTAACAGAGATGTTAGTATGTCTTGTTCTGCAGAATGTTTCTTTCCCTTAACTATATATCTTGGAAATCATTCCATATCAGAAAACAAAAAGCATGTCTTTATTCATTTGTTAGAAGCTGCATATTTACTTCATGGATATGTCAAAATGTATTTGACTCGTCTTTATTAATGGACATTTAGGTTGTATTCAATTTTTTTTCTCCTACAAATATTGCTGCCATGAGTAGCCTTATAAATGTGACATTTTGCATGTGTGCATATCTGCAAGAAAAATTTCTCAAAGAGAAATTGCTGGGTTGAAGGGTAAATGCCGTTGCAGTTTTGGTAGATGGTGCCAAATTGTCCTCCAAAGAGGTTATACCAATTTACATTCTCACCACCAAAGTATGAGACCGTGTAAACTACAATTTCAAAGGAAAAGAGAATTCTTTAACTTGGTATATATAGTATGTTTCTTGATACAGGTGGTGGTGGTTACCTTAGATTTTAGAGCAAGTCCCTAACAGATCCAAGAAAGGAATCTTTATCGCCTCGGTCTCAGTTCCCACAAGGCCAAATTGTTTTAAGATCCTGAATACACTTCCCTGACCTTCTCTTTTCCTTCAGCTTTACTTCTGACTCAGGATTTTGTTTTGGATTCTGTTGTTGCAGCTTCTTCTTCCAGGCCTTCTCCTTCTTACCTTGTAGCAATAGCTTTGGGGCTCCTGACTGTAATTCTCATGATTTTGCTGCTATACCACTGGATTCTGTACCAGGGTAAGTGCTAACTTAGACTAAAATTAATCTTTCATTTTATCCATCTTATATTATGAAAGCAATATAACAAATCAGAAAGTTTGAAAAATGAAAAATAATCCAAACAAAATAAAGCACCACTTGTGCACAGCTATGATCTGGGTACAGCCTCCATATTGACCACATTCACGTGCGTAAGTATTTATTTTCTTAACAGAATTGAATTAAGTCCTCTGAAAAATCCTTCCCACCTTTTTTTTTTTCCTCAAAGCAAGGCTGGAAATAGTTCTGATCACTACTTACTACCATATTTATTGTGATAATTAAATTATAATATTAATGGTGTTTATCTTTTCACAGATATATCATAATTTAATTAAACATATTCCTTTTTTTGTTTGTTTTCATATTTTCTAAACCTAACTTTTCTAGGTTCAGTTCTTCTAGGTCCTTAAACCTGGTGATCCAGAGGGCTGTCAGTTTATTTTTTCACAATCTAGAGTCCTTACTTAGGTTTATGTGATCAAGGGATGATTATTAGTGACATAATACAGCATAGATTCATTAGAATTCTAAACGTTCAGCTGCGGGATCTCTACCCCAGACCCAAGTTCTAACTATGAGAGAAGGAGAATCCTAGGAAAGTTGGGAACTTCTAATACAGGCTGAATAATGTCCAGTTGTATGGAAAAAGCACAAATGTATTAGGTGCCAATTTAATAGCTCGATCTCCAGAACCCTATTTCAGTCTCATGTTAGGCCTTCCCACAGAAAAGTTACCTAATCTTTACATAAAAAGGACTACTGTCCCCACTTTTTAACTCCCAAGTCGAGAATAAGTATATAATCTATTCTGCAATTATATATCTACATATGTGCTCACGTGGTTTAATGGCTCATAATTGCTCACTGTAGAATTGTGCTTATGGTGAGTTTATGCAAATATATTTCGTTGAAATTGAAAATCAGTAGAATCATGGAATCTTGGTTGGAATTACCTTGAAACCTGCATATTCAGTTCCTTTTCATTTTGACAGAACTATAATCCAATGATTTTAAAGGAATGAGGATTTTCTGTATTTAAAAAGAGTTCAGTGAGGAAAATTCTGTCACTTTTTACTTTAGCGTCTGATATGCTTCTCTCTCAGAAAATCTTTTCTTTTAATATTGAAAGTAAATTCTTTTTGCTGAAGAATAAGTATTTTGTTCAATTTCCGATGGTGATAGACAATCATATCTGTGATAATAAAAAGGTAAAACCTTTCAGTTTAGTTCAATTTGCTCTTTCTAGTTTCTTTCCTTATATACCACTATGAGGCTGTCAGGTTGAGCATTCTGAGTGATTATGACTAATTTAAGCAATGTACATTATGTAGTTACACAACGTATGCCACTGGGCATTTACAGACAGTACGTGGATATGTGTCATGCAAAGGCACAGTTATTTTATTCGGTGTGTACATATCACATGTGCATAGAGATCTCTAGCACAAGAAACGTACTCGCTCCGCAGTGCTCAGGCAGATTGTACCACATTTTCTGCCTTGCTCCTTTGGTCATAGTCATATCCTCGCTTAGTGGAATGTACACTAGTAGTGATGGAGTTGGACACTGTGAAGTATTCAATTTGAGACAATGCACTGTTATGCATTTCTCTAAACATTAATCTGAAAGTTGGTATGGCAGGGAAGGCACTGGGACTGCCATATTCCATTTTATCTCCCATTTTATTTCCAAGACCTAGTTGTCCATAAAGATGCTAACCATGTCCTCTTCCTTTCTAGGTTCCAACTCCTCCACCTGTGCCAGGTGTCCTAGCTGCCCAGACTTCTGGACGAGATATGGTAACCATTGTTATTATTTCTCGATGGAGAAAAAGGACTGGAATTCTAGTCTGGAATTCTGCTTAGCCAAAGGCTCACATCTCCTTGTGTTTATAGATGACCAGGAAATGGTAAGTGCAAATTTTAAGAAAACGTAGGGGTTTTTTGGTGAATGCTGTTTTAATGTATCATATATCCTCTTTTGAGGAACAAAAGGAGTCTGTGATTTGGGGAAGGCTGTATTTTTTCTTTTTTCTCTTCTCTCTTTTCTTTCTTTCCTCCTCCTCTACCCCTGCCGTCTTCCCTTTCCTGCCCCACTCCTTATCCTTACACTGCCTGACCTAACTACCCTCAGTTACAGCAACCCAGATGCTTGCATCGGCACGTATATGTGTATGTGTGTGTGTTGGAGATGGGAAGCTGGTGAGTATTGTGGAGAGGAATTAGGTCTAATTTAAAAAGCGTTAGATCCAGAAACATACAGGTCCAACAAGGAGGTTGCAGATTCCTGTATAAGAGTCAGTGGAATTTGGGAGGTAGGGGGAGAGAGAGATCACAAGGACAAAGTGGACAAGGACAAGGGCTTAAATGTTTTTTGAAAACAATGTTTTTCCTTCATTTATTGGAATCCAATAAGTTTGAGACTGTGAAACAATGTCCAGAAAGTTGGGATAGAAGGAGGGAACTCTGTGTGCATGTACTGCGTGCACACGTGTGTGTGCTTGCACACATGCATGTATGTGATCTTAAACACCTTGCAGAGCTCAGCTGGTGGGTAGGGCTCCACTTCCTATAGCCCTCTTAGATCCTTCTGTGCACTCCACAGTGTCTTGAAGGAAAACTGCATGGGTCCTAGAGCATCTCAAGGCAATACAAGGAACTGACATCCTGAGGTAACCTGGTAAAAAAGTCAATGAAATTCTAATTTGTCAACGTAAATAATGTATACACATATATAAAGAAGACAAGAAATCCTAGTTTGGTTTTTAGTGCTAATTTCATGCTGATTTTTGTGTTTCAATATTGCTTTCTGTTTTCTTTTTTGGGTAGAATCAAGTCACAGAGAATAGTTTATTAAAAATTCAACTATATTGGGGCTGAGCCTGTGGTGCGCTCGGGAGAGTGCGGGGCTGGGAGCGCGGTAGTGCTCCGTTCGCGCGGGTTCGGATCCTATATAGGGATGGCCTGTGCGCTCACTGGCTGAGCGTGGTGTGGCCGGTCTCAAAAAGGACCCCCCCCCCAAAAAAAAATTCAACTATATTAACGTCCCTTGGGGAAATCCAGAGACGTAATTAGTCTAAGGCAGTTGGGAAGAACATATGGCTCCTAAATTTTATAAATTCCTATTTTATGAAAACATTAAAGCATCTAGATTCTTATTTTCTGACACAGGGACAGTCATTCCTTTGAAATTCTGGATAGAATCTGAACTGCAAATCATTCCACCTCTGTGACTTAACGTTTCTTTCGTGCCTTCCCTAAGCTAGGTGGCAGAATGTATTGGAGTCTTTTCATTAGACATGAAATCTTAGTTTCGTGGCCTCTGGTAATAACAGCCTTGCTTTCTGGACATTGTTGCAGCAACTGCCTTTCTCATTCTGATAGAACTGCTTCTGAGGACTTGTGCTCACTGAAGACAATAGCAGAAGTTAGCAACGAGCTTAAAACATTGCTGGGCAAACACCCATAAACAGGAGTAGTGAGTCATAATGCAAGACAGTGCCACAGAAAATTGTGGTGTAGTAGCTACTATAGATTACATGGTGTGACAGTGAGATGAGGATGGAAAAGACCAAGGCACAGAATATCTGGGAGTTGGGGATATTTCTGTTTCTCTGAGGTACCCAGAGGTGGGGAGGGATTTTGTCCTTTCTTTCCTTACGTTCTCTGGATCCTGTGTCTACTATTGAGTAACCGAAGAGTTAGATTGACTGCATTTCCAAAATGGGCTTATTTTATCTTAAGGCCCCTTGGTTCAAGTCAGTAATGAAGAGGATAAAATATCCCTGCTAGATTTAATAGCAACCCCTGATAAGTTTTACTTCTGACGTTCCTGTGGAATCTTGCTTGATCCTCTGGCTTAATTTTTTTCTCGCTCCAGCTTTTGTCAGATTCTGTAGAACCAAGTTGACTCTGATCTGCTGAGTCTCTTGTACTGGTATTGTTATTCTTTTGTTCTCAAGGCAAGATTCGCATACTGTTTTGAGGCATGCGTGATGTACATAGTATCTTACTTGAGTCTGAACAGTTACCAAAAGAGCTATATGGGACTATTAGAAGTGAAGTTTTTCAAAGTGTCATTCCATTGGTGGAGAATACTGCTAGAGAGTAAGGTTGCTGTGTGCTAGAGCCTACAGACTATAAACGTACATAGTATCTTACTTGAGTCTGAACAGTTACCAAAAGAGCTATATGGGACTATTAGAAGTGAAGTTTTTCAAACTGTCATTGCATTGGTGGAGAATACTGCTAGAGAGTAAGGTTGCTGTGTGCTAGAGCCTACAGACTATAAAAAAGATTCATCTCATGCTGTTAAATAGGCATCCTTTAGCAAGATATGTAAATATAGTCCACATCCTGTCTTAGATCAGTTATAGCAAAGCGTACAACAATCATAGAGGCCCACATATTAAGCATCTGCTATGTGCCAGGTGTTTTATGTATGTTATTCTTAATCTTCACAGCAATTCTACAAAGTAGAATTTGACATCCCCATTTTATTGATGAGTGAATAAAATCAGAGAAATTAATGAACAAGTCCAAGGCTATATAAATCTGGCAGAGCCAAGTTTTAAACTGCACATCAGCTCACCTCCAAAATCATTTATAGAAATGTTGTATTTGACAGTACAGCTCTAACCAGTTGAGCTAACCCACTAGTCTCAAGATTATTCTTTTTTTCGTTTTTGTTTTTTCTTTTTGGTGGATGGCCTGTGTGAAGATCTGAACCCTTGACCTTGGTGTTATAACATCACACTCTAACCAAGTAAGCTAACCGGCCAGCCCTCGAGATTATTCTTGACAGAGAAAATAAAAACAAAATTGAGATTGATTTGCTCTGCTATTTCCTGTTTTCTGTTAACATTATGGCATCTGCTCTTTGTTATTCTTCTTGCTCTTTGAATAGATCTTTAGATCTTTAGATATTCTTGAATTTTCTTGCCACTTTTCCCAATTTGGTTTTTTTCTTGTCTGGCTGGTACAGGGAGCTGAACCCTTTGCCTTGGTGTTACAAGGCAGCACTCTAACCAACTGAACTAACCAATCAGCCTAAAAGTTGTTTAACGTCCACCTTCCCCAGTGAGAAGTAGTAAAAAGAACAGATCAAGTAACTTAGAATTGTATGGGTCTTGAGAGCAGTAAGCATGCACAGGATTGGGTTTATAAGTGGGCATTGTCTACGCCCAGCTCTTCAGACTCTAATTGATGTTTTTGAGCAAATGTTTATCCATTTCTGTGCTTTATCAGCTGCCATTCCTCCTCTTAAAATAAAGAGAAAAATAAATGGACTGTTTTTCTTATAATTCCAGTGGAAAAATGAGGAAACACTCATTTTTTCCTAATTCAAATAATCCTTTAATCAAGTTGGTTAAGAAATGCATGAAAAGTTTCAAGGTCTCTTGAACATTAGAATGTTATTTTATCTATCTTACCCTTTCTTTTCTCTTCAGTTTACCCACCTACCCCCAGCATGCACAATTAAATGCCTCATAAGAGTAAAGTGAAACATGCAGTGTTTAGAAGGTTTTAGCGTCTTGCACATAATACTTGGGTAATATGTGCTTTGAAGAAAATGAAGCAGTATAACAGTGAGTGTGGGTATTACTTTAGATTGGCCTATTAAGGAAGGTTTTTCTGACTGGCCTATTAAGGAAGGTTTCTCTGACTGGCCTATTAAGGAGGTAACATTTGAGTTGAGACCTAGAACTGAACGTTAGCCATGTGAAAATCTAGAGGAAGGATATGCAAAGACACTAAAGCAAGAATGACCCTGGCATCTTAAAGGAACAGAAAGAAGGCTCAGGTGGCTGGAACCTGCTAAGTGAGTAAATGGCTAGCAGGGGCTAGATCATGGAAGGCCTTGTATACATGTGTGAAAGGTGAAACCACTGGAGGGCATTAATCAGGTCACGGAGTGATTTTGTTTCTTACTAGAAAGGGAGAGCCTGATATAATGCAAAAGTTTAACACTGGCAGAGAAAACTTGGATGCTTATTTGATAAGGAGACTTGGGTAAACCCCTTCACCCGTATGAACTTGTTTTCTCATTTCTAAAGATGAGGATAATAATATTTGCTTACATTTGAAGGTTGTCAAGAATTTTGTAATTGGAAAAAATTCTAGAGAATAGCTAAGATAAATTCTCATCAGGGAACTGAAGCACAGACAGATTTGTTCATCTTCAGATAGCAGGGACAGAACCAGTGGCAGACTCCAGTATTTTTTGTTTTGTTTGCCTAAATAAACTTTCAATCCAGTGTTTTGTTTTTGTTTTGTTTTCTTAAATGCCATACTGCATATCCAATATCTCAAATGAAATTAGGAATGGATACAAAAGGATTTTGTAAACTTTACAGTTTGAATGTAAAGCATAATTGTTTTCAGGATACTCCACTCTGGGAGAACAAAGCTATCATGGGAGAGGGATTATTTGGGAAGGAAGTATTGATAAACAAGTTGTACTGATTTTTCAAGTGCTTCACCCAGAAGCCACTACGACCACATGTCCAGAATGGAAACTAGGACATAACCCAATTACGAGAAAAGAGAGGTTATTCTGACCATGGGATATAGCACAAAAGACTTGTTTTACTTTCTGTAGTGTCTTTACTAAGACTGAAAAGAGGCTTCATGCCTCTCTTAACTTTAGAAGAGAAAATCTTTATTCATGCTGGTGAAAGGTCCAAGTAAGTAAAGGGAGACAGTTGAGAAGAGAGCCCATGGATTCTTACTCTTCAACAGCCATCTTTCAGGAGTGGAATAAAAACGATATCAAAATGGGACATCTGGTATTATCATAATTGCCATAGAGGGTTCAAATTTTATTGCTTTCATTATAGTTTCTGTATAAAAGAGAATATTTCTTTCAAAGATGTTCAACTAATTAAGCTGTCATTAGAAAATATTGAAAGTCTAATTATTCATTGCACTACCACCAAATCCTACAACAAAATTAATCTTCTTGGATTTATCCTTTATTTTATTTACTTATAAAGTCAATTCCCGTAGGATATAAGCTTCTTCATTTGAATGTCAGACTCTAGGTGTAGCCGATTTAACATTAAGTTATCCCCTTAAGTACTGATTTTTTTTTCTTGTCACATAAAAGATTGATGAGAACTTGAAAAATGAGAGTTTAGTGGGGGAAAGAACCAAGCATATTGGTACAGGCTTAATCATAATTTATGTATTCAGTGATGATGAGAAAGATGACTGTTTCTGCAGCAGTGTTTACCTTCTTTCCTTTGAAATTATTTGAATGCCTATCAGGTGCTCCATCTAATCAAGGAGGAAGTTGCAATGGACAGTAGAAATGTAATATTATCTTATTTGTTACATTAGAAGAATGCAATTATAGACCTCAAGGTCAATTCTAGGAAGCTGCTCTTCTCTGCAATCAACAAATTAGAAATTGAAGAGGGGTTAGTTAGTTGAATTGTGTGGTTGTTTTAGTTTGCTTGGGCTGCTATAACAAAATACCATAGTCTGGGTGGCTTAAACAACAGACATCTATCTCCAAATTCTGGAGGCTGGGAAGTCCAAGATCAAGGTGCTGGCAGATTTGGTTCCTGGTAAGGATCTCCTTCCTGTTTGTGGACAGCTGCCTTTCTTTTGTGTCCTCACTTGGTAGACAGAGATCTCTGGTTTCTTTCTATTCTTATAAGGACACTAATCCCATCATGGGGCTCCACCCTCATGACCTCATCTAAACCCAGTTACCTCCTAAAGGCTTCACCTCCAGATACTATGACATTGGTGGCTAGGGCTTCAACATATGAATTTAGGGGGAACACAAACAGTCAGTCCTAACAGTAGTGATGGATAGGGAGGGTTTAAGGAGTAATTGTTTGACCATGACACTGAATCTCTTCCTTGGGTTTCTGCATCTTGCTTACCTTTTTTCATCATCTTCAATCTCTCCCTCAGAACCAGTTCAAATGTTTTCTCAATGACGACTTTCACTGGATTGGTCTGAGGCACAATTCTGGCTGGAGGTGGGAAGATGGATCAGCTCTAAACTCCTCAAGGTAAAGGGCTTCAAAACAAAACAAAAAAAAAGGGTAAGGGTCAGAAAAAAAAGAAGAAAAGGGGAGAAAAATTATTTGGCTTGGAAAATAGATTGAGGATAACAGAGAGGAGAGGAGGAGAAACAGTGAAAAGGAGAGGAAACAGTTGAGCAGGAAGGGAATGAACAGTGGGTAAGAGCCAAGAAACAAAAACAACATTAAAAAAGGATGACATTTTAAATGAGGCCAGCGAACAATTTTTATTCTTCTGTTTTGGGAGCTGAGGGGCCTAAGTAGGGAGAAAGAATGTGCTCACTTTTTATCCTTTCATGCCTTTCAACTTCTTTACCGTGCACGTTGCCTTAAGTGACTGACTTTTCTCATTTCTTACAGGATTGCTTCTAATAGCTTCGTACAGAAGTGTGGTACCATCAACAGAATTGGTCTCCAAGCCTCCAGCTGTGAAGTTCTTTTACAGTGGGTGTGTAAGAAGGTCAGACTTTGATGGATGGCCACTCTGACCTGATCCTCAGCTCTGTCACATATCCCTGTAAGGGGAGAGATGGCCACTGGCTGTAGGGATGGCCACGAATGTGTATTTAGTGAATGCTGAACCTTCTAAGGTACGGCGTTAGATCTGAGATCAATGCAGCCTCCTCAGGATTCATGCTTGACTTCTGGATTCTCTGTGAGACTATTTTGATATATTGTTAACAATCTAAAGATCAGATCTAAGCAAATTTGTGAAATAGATACAGTTTGTTTTTAGTATTTCTCACTCTAGCAACTAATCTTGCCTGCTTCATTCCCCCCGCCACCACCTCTGTCAAAAATATACCTTTTCTATGTTATATTCTGAGCTAATGTGATGAAATCTGTACAAATATATACTATTGCTAACATACTGGATAGGTTTTATGTGTGCTGATGACTTAGCATGTTACTTCTCCCTGATCATGTATTTTTATCCTAACAGTGGCTCTTTGCAGATAAAGCTTTTCTCTAAAGAATGATGTTAATGGTGAGAGTATAAATTGTGGAAAGTAGGTGAGGGCAGGGTGGCACTTCCTGCTTCTCAGCTCTTCACACTTACATAACGACCTGGACTTGACTGATTTTGTTTCTTTCTGAGTATGCATAGATGTGGTTGAATAAACCAATGTGTGACTCTATCTTTTCCATGCTGTGAATGTGTGATGAGATATTAATTTTGTGATAGTGGTCAATCTGATAAGACATTTTCATAGAAGAAAATTTACAAATGCAGTTTACTTGGTTGGGTCTCCAAATTATTTTAGGCACTAATGCCTCAAAAATGTGAACAACTTTATTATTTCTTCTTAGTACAGTTTGAACATAGATGAGGGGAGAAGGTGCTATTTAAAGATGTGAGGCGGTAATGAAGGAAAACAATTCTGTAGTGGTGATGATACTGGATTGTAATCCATCTGTCGTTATCTTTCATAGCTTTTAAAAAACATGGACTATATCTTATCCACCACTGTATCCCAACTCTTAAGATTGTGCTTACCTTCAGTGAATATTAAATAAATACATGGACATATAAAGACTAAGAATTAAACATTTTTATTCTAGTTATTTCTGTTAGCCCATAAATTAGTAAGAGGGATTAAAGGCAAGAAAAATAGTATATCCTAATCCTCCCTAACCCACTCATATGAACATTTAATAGCTGATTCTAAAAAGGGAAGGGGCCATTTTAAAATGGATGTAATGCTCATAGGAAGAGGTGGTGTAGATAAGCTCTATCCCCTTATGATCTCTTACCTTTGGTCCTAGGGCAGGGGGTATTCCTTAGTTATGGATGTGGTGGCAGTGACCACCGCTTCTTTGAGGGTGTATTGCTAGTGATCCCATTTGGGCCATGGCTTGGCTGCTACATGGTGCACAACTTTATTTACTCATTTAAAGATAAATGAGGGGATATGGTAGGCTCTTAGATTCTCACCTGAGCAGGCAGGATGTGGGCAGCTCTCCTCTGTGAATAGGGTTCAGTCTTCTCATAAGAATTTTTCCACCTATCTTCAGAATTGGGTCTAGTTCTTTATTGCTTTGTCTTCCTTAAGGATGTTACAATAGAAATAGCAGCTTTTTTCATAGTCCTTTATTTATTCCTTAGAATTATTAGGGGCGAAGGTTAGTTATTGACTCAATTCTTTTACCTTACTTAATGAAATAAAATTTGGTAAAACTAGAAACTAAAACTTTTCTATTAGCACTTACATTTCACAGCTGATTCCTTTGATGAACATTATGTAATAAACTTATCTAGGGCATGCAGTGTTTGGAATAAGACATTTATTGAAGATAATAACAGGGCAGTAACAAAATGAAAATGAAGAAAATCCAGAGAGTGAAAAACGTCTGTAGAGGCCACAGCTATATGGTATCTGAGGGCTCAGCAGGCAAAATAAAAATAACAAGATTGTGTAATCCTTGCAACTTAGCAAAAACTTAGAATCTTGTCCATTTCATTTTTTTGTTATTTTATTATACTTTAATGAATATTTTTTGAACCTCAGATACAATAATTAAAGTTAACAAGCTCCACAGAAACATGCTTTGATATTTGCTATATTCCTTGAGCATGTTTGCATCCTTATAAAATGTATAGTTTTCTGCATTTGTTTCTTTAAATAAATGATTTTTAAAATCTGTCTTATGGTTTTACTTTTTTTTCTTGGTGTTATGTTGTTGAGCTCTAGCTATTGCTCTATGTGCATGTGATTCATCCTTTTAGCTGCTGCATAGTCTCTGTTTTATGTCTCCATTTTCTAAATGATGGACGCTAGTTCTCTGATTCCTCACTATCACGAACAATACTGGCATGAATATTCTCTTACATATCCCGGTTCCCAAGTCTTTCCCACCTTAGGAAATGGCCTTACCATCTCTACAGTTGTTTTGATTCCAAACCAAAGAGCTTTCTGATTTTTTTCTTTTTTTCCCATTCACAACATCAGCAAATTTTCTCATCTCTGTCACCAAAGTATATTGTAATTCTCACCACTTCCCTCCATCTCTGCTTTTAACTCTAGTCTAAGCCACTGTTGTTTGTTCACCCAGATTACTGAGACAGCTTCTAAATCACTCCCTCCTTTTAAAAACAGCTTTATTGAGGTATTCATACACAATAAATAAAACATATTTAAAGAGTAACATTTGATAAATTTTGATATATGTATTTATCCAGGAAACCATAACCATAATCAAGATAATGAATATATCAATTACCTACAAAATGTTCGTCATGACTTTTTATAATTCCCCCATCGCTTTTCTCCCTGTCCCACAAAACTCCCCCTACCCCAGGAAACCCCAGATCTACTTTCTGTCACTAGAGATTAGATTGCATCTTCTAGAGTTTTACAATATGTAGAGTTTTACAGAATCATACTGTTTGTTCTCTTTTTTTTTCTGGCTTTAAAAAACTCAGCATGGGCCAGCCCGGTGGCGCACTGCTATAGTGCGCCGCTTGGGAAGCGCAGTGGCGCTCCCGCTGAGGGTTCGGATCCCACATACAGACCGGTTCCCGCTCACTGGCTGAGCGAGGCGCGGGGGCAACGCTGAGGGTTGCGATCCCGTTGCCGGTCCCGGTCCGGTACGGGGGCGACACTGAGGGTTGCGATCCGTTGCCGGACACAGAAAAAGACAAAAAAACAAAAACAACAAAAAAAAAACTCAGCATAATTATTTTGAGATTCATCCACTTTGTTGTGTGTATTAATACTTTACACCTTTCTATTGATAATATTCCATCGTATGGATTGACCACAATTTGTTTAGTCATTCACTTGAAGGACGTTTAGGTTGTTTCTTGTTTGTGGCTATTAAAAATAAGGCTGTTATGAACATTTGGTTATAAATCCTTGTATGGACATAGGCCTTCTTTCCTCTTAGGTAAACACTGAGAAGGTGGACTGGCTGGATCATATGGCAAGTGTATATTTAACTTTTTAAGACACTGCTAAATTCTTTTCCAAAGTGGTTGTACCATTTTATATTCCAACCATCAATGTATGGGCGTCTATTTCCTCCACATCCTGCACACTGCTTGGTGCATGTAGTAGATTGAATGGCTCCCCACAGTTATTGGAGCTTGATCCCCACTGTGACTGTTAAGAGGGTGGGAAATCCTATTATCATAATTGAAATGTGGGGCCTTGAAGAGGTGATTAGATTGTAGGGCTATGCCCTGGTGAATGGTTTAATTGTGGTAAGGGGTGTGGCTTTAAAGGAGATCACATAAAATTCTCTCCCTCTGCTCTGCCATTTTCTGCCATGTGAGACCCCTGCATTGCTGTACAGCCACCGCCAAAGAAGACCCTCAACAGATGTGTTCCCTGGACTTTGGGCTTGCCAACCTCTGAAACTGTAAACAATAAATTTCATTTTCTTACAAATTATCCAGTTCCGTGTATGTTGTTATATGCAACAGAAACAGACTAATATAGTACAGTCAGTCTTTTTAATTTTAGCCATTCTAATAAGTATGTGGTATTATCTCATTGTGGTTTTAATGACCATTTCCTTAAAAATTTAATGATATTGAGCACTTTTATGGGCTTATTTGCCATCCATATGTTCTCTTTGGTGAAGTATTTGTTCAAATCTTTTGCCTATTTGTTTGTTTTCTAGTTATTGAGTTTTTAAAGTTCTTTATATATCTTTTGTATGTAAGTTCTTATCAGATATGCACTTTTATCCCAATTTTTTCATTCTCTTAACAGTATGTTTCAAAGAATAGGAGTTTTTAATTTTGATGAAGTCCAGTTTATCAATCTTTTGTATTATAGTTTGTGCTTTTTGTGTGCTGTCTAAGAAATCTTTGTCTAGTCCAAGGTCACAAAGATTGCCTTTTTGTTTTCCTCTAGAAATTTTATAGTTCTAGGTTTTGCACTTAGGTTTGTGATCCATTTTGATTTAACTTTCATATGTGCTGTGATGTATGGGTTGAGGTCATTTATTTTTCTCTTTCTAATGCCCAATTGTTTCAGCACTATTTATTATTGAATTCCTTTGGTGCCTTTGTTTAAAATCAACTGATAATATACATGAAGGTCTATTTCTGCATTTCTCTTCTTTTTCATTTATTTCTATGTCTATCCTTCTACTTCTACCCCACTATAAATTTATAGTAAGCCCCGAAACCAAGCAGTATAGTTTTCTCATTTTGTTACTCTTTTTCAAAATCCTTTTAGCTGTTTTCAGTCCCATTATTTTTTTCCTATAGATTTTAGATAAATATCCTTTTAATGTATTGTTTTACATATGTTATGAATATATCAGGGGGGATTACTGGGTCAATGGGAATATGCATTTTAAGTTTTATTAGATACTTTGAAATGACCCCACCAATTTAAACCCTCAAGCAATGTGTGAATGCCTATTTCTTTATACCCTCAACAGGCAAAGGTGAAGTAAAAACTGTACAGGATCCTCATAACTCTTTTCACTCCTGGCTCCATCCTTGAAGGATAATGGTGAGATTTTACTTAGGAAGAGGTCTTTCATGTTCTTCTCATTGGAATATCTGTAAGACAAATCTTTCTCTTGCTAGTAATGATCTTCTCTCATAACAAAACTTTAATAGTAATAAAGTCTTCATTTCCATATTAGTACTGAGGTGGGGAAGGAAATGAAGGGAACGGGAGAAAACTCCTGTTCTGACACGTAGGAAAGAGTATTAAAATTATATAAAATCTGAGGAAGAAGTGATTTTCAAGGTGGAGGGAGCACTCATCAATATAAAATGCCAAAAGGCTGTAAAGTAACACTGTGAGAGAAAAGTATTCAACAAGATTGACAATATGGAGGTCATTGTTTGTCATTCTTTACTGGTGTGGGGGGGACGTGAAATTTCTGTAGGCCAAGAAATTGGAGATAAGGAAGTGGAAACAGTGAGTTTAGAAGCTTCTTGTAAGAAGTTTGGTTATGACAGGAAGGAAATAGATAATATCTAAATAAAAAGTTATATGTAGGACCGACATATTTTTAAATATAGCTGGGAGAGAGAAGCACATTTTTATAACTTCAGGAGGAAAATTTAGTTGAAAGGGAGAGATTAAAAATGAATGTAAGAGAGAGGATGTTTAAGAGACCAAGATCCTTGAGGCAGTGGGTGAATATGAGACCTAACATACCA